GTAGTAGTAGTAGTAGTAGTAGTAGTAGTAGTACTAGTAGTAGTAGTAGTAATAGTAGTAGTAGTGGTAGTATAGTAGTAGTAGTAGTAATCGTAGTAGTCGTAGTAGTCGTCGTCGTAGTAGTAGTAGTAGTCGTAGTAGTAGTAGTAGTAGTAGTAGTAGTAGTAGTAGTAGTAGTAGTAGTAGTAGTAGTAGCGTAGTAGTAGTAGTAGTAGTAGTAGTAGTAGTAGTAGTAGTAGTAGTAGTAGTAGTAGTAGTAGTAGTAGTAGTAGTAGTAGTAGTAGTAGTAATAGTAGTAATAGTAGTAGTCGTAGTAGTAGTAGTAGTAGTAGTAGTAGTAGTAGTCGTAGTAGTAGTAGTAGTAGAAGTATTTGTAGTAGTATTAGTAGTATTAGTAGTATTATTAGTAGTAGTAGTAGTAGTAGTAGTAGTAGTAGTAGTAGTAGTAGTAGTAGTAGTAGTAGTAGTAGTCGTAGTCGTAGTAGTAGTCGTAGTCGTAGTCGTAGTCGTAGTCGTAGTCGTAGTAGCCGTAGTAGTTGTAGTGTTGGTTGTTGTTGCTGTTGCTGATGTTGTTGTTGTTGTTGTTGTTGTTGTCGTCGTCGTCGTCGTTGTCGTCGTCGTCGTCGTGGTCGTTGTCGCTGCTGTTGTTGCTGCTGGCCCGTATTGTGCCGTGCGGGGCTGCGCTGCTGGTCGGCGCTGCTGCGGCTGTGGGTGAGAGTCCTCACGGATGATTCTTGGTATCTCGTCGGAGGGTTCTTGAGGGGGCTCCCGTGCAGCAGTTTTTAGGGGTCCTTGAGGGCCTTCTGAGGGCGCCTTGGATACCTCTTGGAACTCTTTTGGCGCCTCTTGGGGGCCTCTTGGGCCCTCTTAGTGGGGCTCTTGCGGGCCGCTTGGGGCAGCCTGGACGCCTCTTGGGGCCGACGGCTCGAAATCCCTGTTCGGCTTCCTCCTTCTGGGCCCCCTCTTGGGGCCTTGCTGGGGCTCTGTCTTGTCCGTCTTGGATGCCTCTGGGGCCGTCTTGGGGCCCTGCTGGGCCGTGGTAGGGTTCTCTTGGAGGCTTGCTTCTTGGGCCGTCTTGCAGCGTCGGCGGCCGAAAAGGTGAGAACGCTGAGAGCCTTCAAAAACCAATGGAAAGTCGTCGAATTTTGCCTTTAAGGGGCTTCTTGGGAGTGGTATTGGAGGCATCTTCGGACGTCTTGGAGGCGATTGAAGCCGTGACGGGGACCGCCTAGCATCCGTGATTGGGACAGCCCGGCATCCGTGACGGGTAAATTTCGCCTGGGGCCCCCCAGGTACATTTGGACGCCCGAAATGGATGCGGAAAAACTGGGCACAATGTCCAACAACAAATGTTGCCCCAAATCAACAACGGCCGGTGTTTGGTAAGCGGCCTTCTGTTTCAAATGGGCACAGGCCGCGGCGGTGCGGACAGCGAGTCCTGTTCAAAATGAACAGGAACTGCTGTTGGGCACTGTACCCATTCTTTCCGTACCCATTTCGTTCGTGCCGAGTGCAGCCACGCGCGCGCGATTTAGAAGTATTCTAAAGCTACTACCGGAGATATTAGCACGCCTTTGGCCCATTGGGCCTGCGAGTTTTTACGGAAGAGGAATGGAGGAGGATCAAGATCAGGAAGATCATGAGACGGCGGAGAAGGAGGAGGAGGCTCCAGGAGGAGGAGGAGGAGGGGGAGGAGGAGGACACTGGGGAGGAAGGCGGCGGTGCGGAGGAGAAGGACGACCCAGGGCAAGGAGAAAGAGGGAGGGTGAGGAGGAAGAGTTCAGGAGGGGGAGGAAGATGGGGGAGGAGGAGGAGGAGGAGGAGGAGGAGGAGGAGGAGGAGGAGGAGGAGGTGGTGGAGGAGAAGCGGGGTGTGGGGGGGTGGGGGGGAGCAGCCAACCCGGCCTGGAGGCGGAGGCGACGGCGACGGGGGAGACAAGCCCGCTGCCAGGAGGAGGACGGCCTTGACACCGTGGACGCCAACCTGGTGCTCGGCCTGTCGGCGGAGAGCATGGACTACTACAGGTCAAGACCGGGGCCATAGCACTCTCTCTCTCTCTCTCTCCTTCCGATCGATCACAGGGTTGTTGTGGATGTAATGGAGAGGCCCGCCGCCCGAGACATCATCGATACCTTCGAGAGGGTGGCTGGCTGGTTTGCTGGGCAAAAAGCTTTCGGCCCCCCGCTGTGTCGTCTCAAGAGTGCGAAGCGCCTGTTGGTTAACTTGCCTGTCGATTGGTTGGCTTTTCGGCTGGTTGGTCAGCTGGTGGGTCGGCTGGTCGGCTGGCTGATTGGCTGGGCGGTCGGCCGGGCGGCCCGCGAGTCTGTTTACTGGCTGGCGGGCTGTCTGGTTGACTGGACGGTCGGCTGGCAGTGCCGGCGTGGTCAGGCTCGTGATCCCCTGACGGGGCCTCAGGGCCCCAGAACCCGCCCGGCAGGCCGACCGCAGCCACTGAGGCTACAAGAGGCTCAAGCGCCGCCTGCCCAGCGTGCGCGCACGCCGTCCGCCGCGCCGGCCCCGCAGCCTCCGCTCCCCCCCACAGCGGGGAGCCATGGCCCGCCGCAGCCGCGCCGCCACGCTTGCCTGCCCGGCCCCGCTGGCGGGCGTCTGGGCGGCCTCGCACGCCTTCGTGGCGCCAGGCCGCCGCGCCGCCGCGGCGGCGAGCGCTCCTGAGCAGGCGGCGGGGGGCGCCGTGCCGGCTCTCCGGCAGAGCGTGGCGGAGTTCATCGCCATGGCGCTGTCCGTCGTCGTGGGCTGCGGCAGCGCGTGTGGCATTGCGAAGAAGGAGGGCTCCGCGTAGGTGGCGTTGACACTCGGCTTCGCCACCACGGTGCTGGCCGACTGCACTGGCGCGTACAGCGGCGGGCAGATCAATTGCGCCGTGACCTTCGGGCTGGTCCTGGCCGGGCAGCTGAGCGTGACCCAGGGCCTCTCTGCAACCTCGCAGCCCAGCTGGCGGGCTCGGTGGTGGGAGCGCTTGTCCTGAGGGCCGTGTACTCCGACCACTCGAACGACCAGACGGGGGGCCTTGGCTCCAACGGCGTCAGCGAGGGCTTCTCCAAGGGCAGCGCGCTGCTGGGTGAGATCGTGGGTGCGTTCGTCCTGATGTATGTGGTCATCGAGACCGCGGTGAATCCAATGACGGAGGCAAACCGGATGGTCGCGCCCTTGGCCATTGGGCTCGCTGTGTTTCTATGGGTGCTCGATCAATCCCACAAGGTCGTTCGGGCCCGCCCTGGTCGCGTCCTTGACCGTGCCTGGTGGGGAGGGTACCCTCAAGGAGATGTGGATCTTCTGGCTTGGTCCTCTCCTTGGCGCTGCTCTCTCCGTTCCTGCGTACTTCTTCATGGTGCAGTGAGCCCGACGCCAGCCCCATGCAGGCGTTGCTGCTAATGGCCGGCTGCATTGTGCCATCGACCAGGTTGCACACAAGGATGTCCTTCCACAGTTTTTCTTCTCCCTCTGGATTCTCCCCCTCGGCTAACTGCCTAACGTAGTTCTGGCTGCCCATTTATGATGGATTGCATCGAGACACGATCTCTCGACACAATGATTGCATGTATTGCTGTATTCTTGCTGTGCTGGATGATTTGGAACCAGAAAAGTGGGTCTCTGCATCGTAGTCGCTGCTTCCGCTACCATATGCCAGCCGCTGGCGCCCCTTTATCACATCACTCACGCTTTTAACAGCAGCAGTGGGGTCGCCCAGACGCGCTTGCTAGGCTTGTTACCATGCTTCCAGAGGCTCGTGCACATGCAGGCACACCCAAGCGTAGATGCCCCCCTCCCTGTGAGCAACAGAGCCCCTGAGCAGCGCAGAACATCAGCGCTGGGCCCATCTCGCTTATCCGTAGTCTGGAACGACATGGAAAGTCAGTTTTTTCCTCTTCATGTCCAGTCCGAGCTGGGGCTCAGATGGCGAAGCCTGGCGTCGGCTCGCCCGTGGAGGGGGGCGAGGGGCCTCTACGCTGCCACGCCACCGCTCCGCTGGGCCTTCCCGAGGGCTCGACGGCGGCGACAGCGGCGCAGCTTGCAGCAGCCAGGGCGAGGTCTAGTCTAGTCTGGACACCACTCCGCTACTCCTCGCAGGGGCTCGCGACAGTGACGATGGTTGCGCGGTTGGCAGCCCCTCAGGGAGGTCGCGGGGCCCCCCCAGGGCACACGAAAGTGGAGAGAGTTGCGCATTTGCCAGTGTCCAGCCAGACGAGGCAGGAGGCAGGGTAGGACGCAGGTCGGGTGTATGAGGCAGGAGGAGAAAGAAAGGTGGACATGAGAAGGATAGGAGAGAGGGTAGACGGCAGGTGCGAGGTATCGGGCAGGTCGGATGTAGGATACAGGCGTAGGGATGAGGGAGGCGGGAGGAAGGAGAGGAGGCATCAGTGCTCTCTTCTAGAGCGGAACCCAACACAGGATGTTTGATAGCAGGGTTCTTACCGTAGTTCCCCCGCAGTTATTCGGTGATTCTGTTATTCGTTTTTATCGTGCTCATGTTCGTTTTTGTGCTCAGCCTCTCTCTCTCTCTCTCGCTCTTCCCCCGCGGATGTGGACAAGAGTGGGGGGGCGGGGAGGTCGTCGGCAGCCTGCGAGGCCCTAAGGCAGATTTAGAGAAGCACGCCGCTTGCGCCGAGTCTTTCTACAACACGCAGCGAACCCGCCGCAGGCGCAGGCTTTTCGCCAAAGCAAGCTGGGTTGGTCGCGGGTGGGTCGCGGGCAGGTCGCGGGTGGGTCGCGGGTGGGTCGCGGGCGGGTCGCGGGCGGGTCGCGGGCGGGTCGCGGGTGGGTCGCCGGGCGGGTCGCGGGTGGGTCGTGGGTGGGTCGCGGGTGTGTCGCGGGTGGGTCGCGGGCGGGTCACTGGCTGGTCGCGGGTGGGTCGCGGGTGCGTCGTGGGCGGGTGTCGGATCTTCGGGGGCGGGGTCGCAGGCGTGTCTCGGGGGGGTCGTGGGCGGGCCAGGATGATGCCAACACAACAACAGAAGGAGTCCTCACCGCGGAAGCCCACTTCGGGCACGCACCCAGGGATGGCGCAAGACCGTTTGACCCCCCTCACTCTGGTGTAAATCCGATTGCCTACAGGCCGGGCTCCCCGCCCGCTGCCCCATCTCGTCTTCGTCTTCCCCATCGTCTTCGTCCTCATCCCCGTCCTCACACTCTCCTCCTTGTCCTCCGCGTTCTCGCTTCTCCCCCGCTCTCCCCCCCCACTGCGATCTGGTCTCGCAGATGCGCGTCGATTCCGATTTTGCTTCCGAGGTTGGAAGTGGATGGCAGGAAAGAGTAATCAAGAAATGTCTGGTGACCCCCCTCGCGTATACATTTACCGGGGGACCCCGGCCAGGGGCCCCATGACGCGACCTCGACCGCAGGATGCTAGACTAGGGCCATCGGATCGGGACCTCGACCCGATCGTCTCCCCCAGCGGCCCAAAATCGGTCCCAGACGGCCCACGATACGATGCCCAGAAGGCGGCCAGAGTGGACCTGAATACACTCAACGTGCCTTGAAGATTGTTGTGGAGGCTCCCGAGACGCTCCAGGAGCGGTCCAAGAGATCTCGCACGAGCCCCTCGAGAGAACATCCGCTTTTTTGTTTCAAGAAGTTTCGCGCTGTCTCCTCTTCATTTTCACTAGCGTCGAGAGCAGCCCAAGGGCACCCTTTGTCGGCCCCAGAAGCTCCCAAATGGCTCTGCGAGGGTCACCCAGCTGGCCGCCAGACTGCCCACGAGGCCCAAAGCGGCCCGATGGGGCCCCAGGACGGGGCAGCAGGAGGGGTCCAGCTAGGCCCCACGAGCCAAGACAGCCTCGATGGGGCCCCGGGCAGCTCAAGAGGGCTCCACGACAGCCCCAGAGCGGCCCAAGAGAGCCTCAGGAGACCCGCGAGGAGGCCCCCGCGGGTGCCCCAGGAGGCCGCCTTGAGCGCCCCCCGACCGCTCAGTGGGGCGACTTACCCCTCCCAAATCCCAAACCCCCTTCCCGTAATTTGCCCCCTTCGGCGACCGAGGAAAACGCGGTCGACTGCGCGGACATTCGTGCGCAGACCTCCCGCGTAAGGCCACGCGTCAGCGCCCTTTCCTTCACGCTGTGTGCCACGGTGGCGCCCCACGCATGCCGCGGCGTAAGGTCGGCATGTTTTCTCGCGTGAGATCCTTTCTTCTCGTAGCCCTACTCACCCAGCACCCCTGGGGTGTACAGTGATCCGCCTTGCGCGCGAACCCTTGGTCAGTCCACTGGAGCAGTGCAGCAGCAGGTGGATGTCTCTCACGACGGGGGCCCTTGCAGTAGTGTCTGTTTCAGGTTGACACACAACTGGCGCGTCGACCAGTGGCTGGCACGCGCTCGGCGCGCCGGCATAGTAGTCCAGCTGCCTGCGGCAAACCCTGCCACCGTGCCTGTGCAACAGTGTGGCAGGACGGAGGCTCAGTGTAGGAACAGCGCAATTCCGACGAGTAGTCTGCATGGGGGCGGGTCATGATTCCGACCTCGTCTTCGTCCGCGCAGTAGGGAGGAGGAGGAGGAGGAGGAGGAGGAGGAGGAGGAGGAGGAGGAGGAGGAGGAGGAGGAGGAGGAGGCGGGGAGGGAGAAACTGATGTGATGTTGAAGGGACGGTTTCTTGGGGCCTTCTTGGGGCCTCCTGGGGGTCTCCTGGGAGTTTCCTGACAGCTTCTAAGGGGCCTCCTGGGCGCGTCTTGAGGCCCCTTGGGCAGTCTTCGGGGATTCTTGGCCCGACTGACGCCTATGGAGGCCGCCGTGGGGACCTCTCTACGCCGCGTGTGTGCCCTCTTGGAGCGGTTCACGGTCGTCTTGGGGTCCTCTTGAGAGCCCTTTGGGCGATCTTTGAGACTTTTTGGGCCGACTTGAGACCCTCTTGAGGTCTGCTGGGCTGCCTTGGAGCTATGTTGGAGACCTCTCGGAAGCATCTTGGGCCATCTTGGGCGGTCGGATACCCCAACAAACGAGAACCTCAACATCCTTCAAACACAGCAGGAAATCAATGGTTTTGGCTTCCAGGTTCTCCAGGAGGGCCTCTTGGAGCCATGCTGGGCCGTCTTGTGGGCTTCTTGATCTGTCTTGAGCCTGTCTTGTGAGCCTCCTGAGCCGTCTTGGGTCATCTTTGGCCACCTTGGTGTCATGCTGGTTTCCTCGAAAGCCGTCCTGGAGGTCATGAGGCTCCCAAGAAGGCCTCAAGGCAGATCATTCGGCACCCCATGCGGCCCATGGGGTCTCCAAGATGCTTTCCAGGAGAGCCCTCGGAGGCCCAAACCATTGATTTCCAGTAGGTGTTTGAAGGATTTTGATGTTTTGGCATATTTGGTTTTCCGACCGGCCAAAACAGTCCAAGAGGTCTCTCTGGACCGTCTTGTTGCTTTGCTGGAGCGCTCCAATGCCGTCTTGGGGCCCTCTTGGGAGCCCCATGGGCAATCTTTGCGTCCTCTTGGCCCGACTTGGTGCCCTCTTGGGGCCCTCTTGGGGGCCTCTTGGGCCGTCTGGGAGCTATCTTGGAGGCCTCTTGGGCCGTCTGGGGCGGTCGGAAACCCGAACAGGCGAGAATCTCAAAATCCTTCGAAAACTTCGGGCTCGCCAGGAGGGCCTCTCGGAGCCCTCTAGGGCCGTCTTCGGGGCCTCTTGGGGCGAGCCGTCCTGGGCCATCTTGAGCAGTTTGGGTGCCGTCATGATCGTCTTGGAAGCCGTCTTGGAGGCCATCTTGGCCGTCTGGAGGCCGACAAGAGCGCCGGGGAGCAACTTCAGGGGGGAGAATTTTGAACTCCGCGCGCGATGCAGGGCGGGGGTTCGGCCCTAGAAAGCAGGTAAAACAAATTCTGGGGGGACCACAGGAGCGCGCTGACACGCCCATTCCGCGCAGGCACAGAGGCGGGTATCGCGCAAGAGCGCCCATGGAAGTCGACCGCGCAATCTGCTTGTGCGCGATGACAAGGATCAGGCGATCGCAAACACGGATCAAGGGGGCGTGGGTTAGCGACGGGTCCAGTTTCCATGGGAAATCGCGGATTTCCGCCGCCGAGTGAGGCGGCACCGACTGCATTTTGGGCAGGTGCGCGACAAATCCATGGACCGCCAATCCATGTTTGCGCGCCCCCGAAGGGAATGGACCAGCCGTGCCCCTAAGGATCTGGGGCCCGTTTCGGAGGCGATGCCAGCCTCAAGAGGCTGCCAGGTTGGTTCAGGAGGCCTGCCATGGACCACCAGGACGGACAATGTTTGATTTTTTTTGTTGATTTTTATTTTTGTTGCGTATTTCCAGTTTTCGTCCAAAATCCGCCTGTAGGAGGACGCTCCCGACCTAACAATATGCCTCGAGAGTCGCTCCAAGTGGTTCCTGTAGCCACTTCTGGCTCAAGCCATGAGCAGGTCAGCTCAGGGGTTCAGCCGCGGGTTGCCATATTGGCGAATCCGTGCTGATATGATGCCCTGACGCTCGCGCGCTGACGTCTGCGAGGGTGTGATAATTAGCTGGCCGGTGCAGGCTCTCTCGGCGGGCACGGAAGTAGGCAATGGGGCGGAAGAAGATTCTCGCGGGGTCCCAGGCCCAGGAGGCTTTTGAGCTGAAGCCGTTCTGCTACTACTGCGACCGGGATTTCGACAGCGTGAAGACCCTGGTGCAGCACCAGCGCACGAAGCACTTCAAGTGTGCGGAGTGCGGCCTCAGTTTCGACACCGTGACGGGGCTCCGCGTACACATGCTCAACGCTTACAAGAGGACCATGAAGGAGGTTCCCAACGCGACTACGGGCAGAGAGAACCCCGACATAGTCGTGCACGGTATGGAGGGCATTCCGAAGCGTGTGTTGGAGGAGAGGACGCGCGGCGCGATGGCGGAGCGGGCCGAGAAGGACAAGATCAGAGAGGAGGAGACGAAGGAGCGGAACAAGTCGCGCGCTGCTGAAGAGGCGTCTTCGAAGCCGGCGGCGCAGAGGAAGCCCCCTGCTCCAGAAGCCCCGGAGCCGCCTGCCCAAGGTCGGGGAGCGCCAAGAATACACTTACACCGGTAGTGTCCAGACCGACCCTGAGTCCAGCGTGGGCCCAGCCCAGGCCAGGATTGGCGTCGGCGTATAATCCTGAGACGTAATCGTTGACCTTCCTGAATCCGCTGCAATTCTATCATGCCCCGGCCCTGGAAGCGTGGAGAGGGGAGGGGCGAATGGCAGCGGCGAGTGACACCGGTAGCTGCAGGAGTCCGAAGCAGCAAGCATCACATTTGATATCGTAGTACTCCCCCACTGTGAGTCGAGGTCACAATATCTACCCCTCTGATACTTCATGGTAGGGTGCAACTCCTGCGAGATTACATTCAGATCGGCGCTAATTCATCCGTGGTCGAAAACCGGCCTATTCCGTCACAGTCCCGTCTCAACCCGGCGTCATCCCATTTGATCCTGCTGAGCCCGGCCGAATCCCAGGCTTAATCTGGCCTGATCCCGATGATTGCCTTGTCATCGGGCTCGATCGCCCCTCCTCGTTCTAACGCAGACCTCCCAGAAGTTGCGTCCTAATCTATGCTGACGTCCTCTTCCAGGCAGCGCGCCGCCCCAGCCCCCCCCGGGGCCCCCAGAAGTCCCGGCCGTTCCCCAAGGGCCTGTTCTGTTTCCCGGGTCGCTTTGTTGACGGTCCCAGGGCCTGGCGAGGGCCGCCAGGGGCCGAGATTCACGAAATCCCTTCGTGTTGTACTTTTCAGTGCGTTTGAGGTTTTGGACATTCTCTACTGATCCTTCGGCGCGCAACGGTCATTACCCGCCCGCCCCCCAGGCAACAGTACCTTGACGATCGTACGTAGGGGGGGGTCTCCCTGACCTTCCAGGAGAGCTTCGAAGCGCTCTGGCAGGTCGGGGCTGGACCCCCCCCCCAGGGAGCGCGCCAGGGGGCGCTGCCGCCCTCCCGCTCAGGCAGCGCGCCGCCCCTGCCTCCCCCGGACCCGCCCGCGCCGGCGCCGGCCCCGCCCGCCGCGGCGCCCCGCGGGGCCCCGGGCGGCGCCCCGGAGGCCGCGGCCCCGGCGCCGCGCGGGGCGCCGGCGGGCCTCAGCGCCAGGGTGGCGGAGCCCCGGGGGGAGGCCCCAGCCACATTTTGAAAACGGCCCGCCCTGCGTCCGTGAAGCTCCTGCTAGTTTTGAGATGGGTGTGTGCGGCGCTGAGGCGAGAGCCACGCTTTCAGAGCGACCCGCCCTCCATCCGTGAAGCTCTCGCAACTTTTCAGACGAATGAGCGCGGCGCTATAGGGCGATAATCATATTGCGAAGGCCTCACGGCCGGTGCCGCCGACCCTTTAGACGACGAGGACGACGACGGCGATGAAGGGCGAGGAGACCCCCTCGAGCCAGAACAGAACGTCATAGCGGGAGATGTCTCGTCGTTTTCCGGCTTCTGGGTTGCCCCTGCCGGGCCTCGGGCCCATCAGCAGTGCGACTCGGGACGAAGAGCCGGTCCCTGGGAAGGGGTCGAGGCCTCTGGGGGCCTGACGAAATCATGACGTTGGGGGTCTGGGGGGGGAGGCCCAGTCAGGGGCGGCCACCTATCGGCGGCGAGTGAGGGGTGGAAAAGAGAAGGAGAGGGCGTTCTCAGAAGGCGGCGGGACTTCCCAGAAGCCTTCGCGCCTTCTGAGGATTATCCGTAAGGGCTTCGCCCCCTGCCGGCGGCCCCCTCTCTCGGAGAATGGAAGAGCGCAGTCATGAGGCTTTGGCTTTGCCGTGAAGCAGTGTCGGGACCTATTTGTTTTTCGACCCTGACCCTGCCGATCTGCGTGAGGGGTGCCGCCGAATTTCAGACATGTGGCAAATCCCTTTTGTTTTTGGACCCTGACCCTGCCGATCTGCGTGAGGGGTGCAACCGAATTTCAGAATTGTTTCAAATCCCATGTGTTTTTGGACCCTGACCCCGAGGGGTGCCACCGAATTTAGAAATGTGGCAAATCCTTGGAGCGCCTTGTCGGGCCGCTGCGGAAGCGCTCCAGATCGCGCCGGCTCGCACGGAATGCTTGTCGGGCCGCTCCGGAAGCGCCCCCGCTCGTGCAGGCCCCCACGGAATGCTCGTCGGGCCGCTCCAGGGGCGCTCCGGCTCGCAGGCCGAGCGCTTGGAAGCGCTTGGGCGTGCCTGGGAGCGCCTGGGCTTGGATTTCGGGCCTGCCGACGCCGCGTTCGATTCGGGCAAATCTGGCAGATTCTGGCCGACCCGGCAAAAGGTCAGGGGCTCTTCAAAAACGGCTCCCAACACACATTTTCTTTATGCTTTGATTTGGTTTTGGGCTCCGGCATGTCCCGGCCTAATTTCGAGCGGCCCGCTCGTGCCAGCTCGCACGGAGTGCTCGTCGGGCCGCTCCGGGGGCGCTCTGGCTCGCACGGGGCGCTCGGGCGCGTTTGGGAGCGCGCGGGAGCGCCTGGGCTTGGATTTCGGGCCTGCCGACGCCGCGTTCGATTTGGGCAAATCTGACAGATTCTGGCCGACCCGGCAAAATGTCAGGGGCTCTTCAAAAACGGCTCCCCATATACCTTTCCTTTATTATTTAATGTGGTTTTGGGCTCCGGTACGTCCCCGGCCCAATTTCGGGCGGCCCGGCCCGCTCGTGCCAGCTCGCACGGAGTGCTCGTCGGGCCGCTCTTGGGGCGCTCCGGCCCGCACGGGGCGCTTGGGCGCGCTTGGGGGCGCGCGGGAGCGCCTGGGCTTGGATTTCGGGCCTGCCGACGCCGCGTTCGATTTGGGCAAATCTGACAGATTCTGGCCGACCCGGCAAAATGTCAGGGGCTCTTGAAAAACGGCTCCCAATACACATTTTCTGTATTATTTAATGTGGTTTTGGGCTCCGGTACGTCCCCGGCCCACTTTCGGGCGGCCCGCTCGTGCCAGCTCGCACAGAGTGCTCGTCGGGCCGCTCCGGGAGCGCTCCGGCTCGATTCGGGCCACCGGATTTCAAAAATGTGGCAGATCCGTTTTGTTTTTGGACCCAGACCCCGCCAATCTGCGTGAGGGGTGCCAGGAAATTTCAGAAATGTAGCAAATCCCTTGTGTTTTTTGACCCTGACCCTGCCGATCTGAGTGAGGGGTTGCCACCGAATTTAAACATGTGGCAAACCCTTTGTTTTTTTGGACCCTGTCCCCGCCGATTTGCGTGAGGGGTGCCACCGGATTTTAAACATGTGGCAAATCCCTTTTATTTTTGGACCCTGACCCCGCCGATCTGCGTGAGGGGTGCCACTGAATTTCAGAAATGCGGCAAATCCCTTATGTTTTTCGACCCTGACCCTGCCGATCTGCGTGAGGGGTCACCGAGTTTAAAACATGAGGCGAATCCCATGTGCTTTTGGACCCTGACCCCGCCGATCTGCGTGAGGGGTGCCACCGAATTTCAGAAATGCGGCAAATCCTTTGTGTTTTTTGGATCCTGAACCCGCCGATCTGCGTGAGTGGTGTCAATTTCTACCCCCCTCAGGAATTCTGAGAACCCTCCCGCGGGGTGCTAATCAGGGTAGTTTTCGGTTCCCCGCCCTCGCGCGGACAGTAACAATTTACAGTAGGAAACAGGAAGCAATATTGTAACAATGGAAACTGGAAGCTGGAACTGGCGCAGGGAACAGCAAGCTGAACCCTCGCAGCCTGATGGCCCCGCAAGGGGGCCGGCAGGCCCAAAAAACTGTTCAGAAGGCCGGGATACTTTCGAGCCTTCTGAGAAGGACCTGGAGTCGGGGGCGGTCATCTAGGACTCCCTTCTTTGGTCGATTAGCGTCAGGCAGTCGATGAGATAGCGCCGATCTAGCGTCGGCTAGCGTCGATTAGCGTCGGTTCAGCATCGATTAGCACCGATTTAGCGTCGATTGGCGTCGATTCGCAAGAGCCGACAAGACGGTACGGGACGCCCCCATGAGTTGCTACCGAAGACCCCCTCGAGTAATGACAAAAATCAGGACGGGAGTTCTTAAATCATTTTCGGCCTTCGGGGGCCTTTCCCAGGCCTAGGAGCCATCAAAAGACGACTCGGGATAAAAAGCGGGTCCTGGGAAATGGGTCGAGACTTCTGGGGTCGACGTTTTGAACAAATCATGACGTCGGGGATCTGGGTGGATGGGGTCGGAGTAGATGGGGTCGGAGGATCGCTCCGCATCGCCGATGCATCGGACATGCGGCTCGATGTGAAGCCCGATTTGCTGGCGTCGCCGATGCATCGCCGATGTCGCCGATGCATCGGTGATGTATCGCCGATGTATCGGCGATGCGGCGCGATCCTCCGACCCCGTCTACTCGGACCCATCTAGGAGGCCTCTAGATGACGAAGGTGGGTTGGATATCATGGCGGGGGCATTGTGTCTCCCCAGATCTCTTGGTGGCTCTTCTTACCTCAATGCGTCCCTGGCCCCCCTTCCCTGGGCCGCGCACTTGCCGCTGGCCATTGCCTGCGCCCCCCCCCTCTTGGACGCCCCCTCCTGGCCGCCCTCGATTAGGACCTGCGGGGCAACAGCGTCGGGGGGGGGATTTGCTCGGACGTTGAACCTTCGAGGCTCGAGGATTTCGAACATGCTCGTCGGTTCTGGGCGGTTTGCCCGCGTCGGGGCGCCTTGCAGCCGCTGCGCCTCGCCGAGAGCGTTCTTGGGGTACCTGGGTTCTTCCCGAACGGCCGCCGGAGACCCAGGTCATGGCCCGAAAGCCAAGGGGGCAAAGTCAGGGGGGGATACAGTCGGACCAAGGTCTAAGATCGAGGTCGGCACGCGGAGGGTGCCGTATTGCGCTTCGTGCTTGTTGGATGCTCTTGTGCATCCTGGGGGGGTACCCTTGGATGCTGTGTTTGTTTTGGCAGACGGAGGGGCCCATGTTCTTGAACGATGCTCTTCTGTCCTATGTCCGACTTTATAGGCTCAGGGAGTGTGTGTGTGTGTGTGTGTGTGTGTGAAGACCGCCCCTCTCCTGAGCGGGCGAGACCTGCAGCGGGCGGGAGGAGGACAGGTCTCTGTCTGTTCTCCTGTTGGTCCTCTGCCTGCGGGCCTCACGGTAGGCTCGACCCTTGGGGCCGTTCCCCTCCGTGCACAGGGGGGGCGCACACCGACCCGCCATCGCTCCTTCCTCGACGACAGGGGCGCGAGAGCCCACCCCGCCCAGGACGGTGCGATCTCGCTGCCGGGGGGGTCTGTCTGGCGTCGAGGCATCGGTGATGCACCGCCGGTTCCGGGTCGATGTCGTCCCCCCTGCCCAGGCCCCCCTTCGAGCACTGACAAAAAATAATGACGGGGCGTCTTTCATCGTTTTCGGCGTCTGGGGGCCCTTGCCTGGCCTCGGGGCCGTCACAAACGATTCGGGACGAAAATCCATTTCTGGGGATTGGGTCGAGGCAGTTGGTGGTCGACGTTATGAAAATTATCCAGGCGAAGGACCCAACCATATGCAGTTGTGAGTACCGCAATTGTGAATATCTTCTTCGGTGGCGATCCCCATGGGGCCACGAACCGTGCGAGGGGTTTGCCGACATGTGTGGCGGGGTATACAGCACGAGCGGAAACGATAGGCTTGATTTCGGGGGGCTGAGCCCGAGCGCGTCTGATTGTGATTGAGTCTGCGTGCGAGTAAGTTTATGTGCATGACTGCGAGCATGGATACGCTCAGTGTAAATGTATTTGACTGTGAATACTGGGCGTGGCAGGGGCCGGCCCACGAAGCGTGTGAGGGGCGTACTGGGTGTGGCGGACGCATGCGGCCACGCCAACTGGGGCCTTGGGTGGAGCTCCCTCTGGAGCCACGAAGCGCTGTACTGGGTGTGGCGGACGCATGCGGACAACCCCAGTGGGGCCTTCGGTGGAGCTCGTTATACGGCCACGGAGCGCTGTACTGGGTGTGGCGGACGTATGTGGCCACCCCCACTGGGGCCTTAGGTGGAGCTCCCTACTGGGCCACGAAGCGCTGTACTGGGTGTGGTGGACGCATGCGGCCACCCCCGGTGGGGCTTTCGGTGGATCTCCCTGTGGAGCCACGAAGCGCTGCACTGGGTGTGGCGGACGCATGTGGCCACCCCCGCTGGGGCCTTGGGTGGAGCTCCCTATGGGGCCACGAAGCGCTGTGCTGGGCGTGGCTGACGCATGTGGCCACTCCCACTGGGGCCTTAGGTGGGGCTCCCTATGGGGCCACGAAGCGCTGTACTGGGTGTGGCGGACGCATGTGGCCACCCCCACTCTGGCCTTGTGTGGAGCTTCCCATGGGGCCACGAAGCGTTGTAGTGGGTGTGGCGGACGCATGTGGCCACCCCCACTGGGGCTTTCGGTGGAGTTCCCTATGGGGCCACGCAACGCTGTACTGGGTGTGGCGGACGCATGTGGCCACCCCCAATGGGGCCTTCGGTGGAGCTCCTTATAACGCCACGAAATGTGTGAAGAGTTTGCCGACATGGGTGTGGCGGACGCATGTGGCCACCCCCTGTAGGGCTTTCGGTGGAACTCCCTACGGGGCCACGAAGCGCTGTACTGTGTGTGGCAGACGCATGTGGCCACCCCCACTGGGGACTTCAGCGGAGCTCCCCATGGGGCAACGAAGCGCTGTAGTGGGTGTGGCGGACGCATGTGCCCCCCCCCCCCCCACTGGGGCCTTGGGCAAACCTCCCTACGGGGCCACGAAGCGCTGTACTGGGTGTGGCGGACGCATGCGGACAACCCCAGTGGGGCCTTAGGTGGAGCTCGTTATACGGCCACGGAGCGCTGTGCAGGGGGCCTTGGGTGGGGCTTCTTATGGGGCCACGAAGCGCTGTACTGGGTGTGGCGGTCGCATGTGGCCACCCCCGCTGGGGCCTTGGGTGGAGCTTCCTATGGGGCCACGAAGCGCTGTAGTGGGTGTGGCGGACGCATGTGGCCACCCCACTGGGGCCTTGGGTGGAGCTCCCTATGGGGCCATGAAGCGCTGTACTGTGTGTGGCAGACGCATGTGGCCACTTCCACTGGGGCCTTAGGTGGAGCTCCCTATGGGGCCACGAGGCGCTGTACTGGATCGGGGGGGAGGAGGGAGTGGGCGGGGGGAGGAAGGAGACGCGGGGCGATGTCTTCTCAAAACGTGGGCCCAACACCACAGGATGGTTCAGAAAAATCATGACGTCGGGGGTCTTGGTGAGCTGGTCCACCCTTATCGGTGCCCCTCAAGACCGTGGGATCCTGACGTCGCTTTTCGTTATAACGGGCAATGTTGCCTTGCTCTGGGCTCCGGGACCATCGCAGATCGATCCGGCCCGAGAGATGCCGCAGAAAGATGATTAGAGCCTGGGGCTCCAGAAGGTAGAGCCTGGGGCTCCCAGTTTCGGAAAGCCTCGGGAGCCCCCCCGACGAAGGCGTGTTGCTGTAGACTGGCGATCTTGCTTGCGTGGCGTGTCGTGCCCGCCCGTCCCTTTCCGCCGCCTTTGCAGTCAAAGCTGGGCCGAAAGGGCCTGCAGGAGAATCCCGACTTGCTTGAAGTCCAGATTTCTTTTCGGGCCTCGCCACGCTCGCCGCTGGGTGCTGGACGGCGCTTCCTTCCCAGGATCGCGTGGCTCCGCCATCTGTGGCCTCGCCGCTCCGTCGGCGGTGCATCGCCGATTCGAGCTCGACCTGGAGCCGCCCCCCCCCCCTCCCTGTCGCTGCCCCTCCGCGGCAAGTCGGGGGCGCGGTGAGCGCACGGCTCTCGGACATTGGGGCGCGCCCTCCGAGCATGCCCGTGGGCGCCCCTCGGGCCCCTTCTGGGATGCCCTGGAGAGCCGCCGCTCTGGCGGACCGTGCGGCGGGTCGATGCCCGGGCCGCCGAGAGGCCCTCCTCCTCCTCCTCCTCCTCCTCCTCCTCCTCCTCCTCCTCCTCCTCCTCCTCCTCCTCCTCCTCCTCCTCCTCCTCCTCCTCCTCCTCTCCTCCTCCTCCTCTCCTCCTCCTCCTCCTCCCTCCTCCCTCCTCCTCCCCCTCCCCCTTCCCCTCCCCCTCCCCGCGCGGTCCGCCACCGCCCCGCCCCGGGGGTGCCCCGACAGGAGCTGCTGGTGCCGAGGCCGCGCCCGCAGGCGGGCGCGCGGCCGGCCAGCGTGCCGGGCCTGCCGGGGCAGGCGGTGCCCCCCGCGCTCGCGGGCCTGCACCCCGCGGCGCTGCAGGCGCTGGCCAGCGCCGGGGCGCTGCAGCCGCCGAGGCTCGCGGGCGGCCCCGGCCAGGGCCCGGCGGGCTTTGCCGGCGTCCTGAGCGGCGCTCTCAGGAGGGGGGGGGAGCGCAGGATTCGGGGGTGGAGAGACTCCTACCCTGGCACGTCGATTCAGGAATCGGCCGTTTCCGGTTCGCGAGAGGGCGTCGCGGCCGTCGTTTTTGCTGGTTCGGGTCCGTCGGTTTCGGTCCCAGGCCGTTTTCACTAAGGGGAGGTTTGCTAAAGGGAGGTTTCTCCACCGCCGAAGGATTCGGTCGGGCATGGCCCTCTACAAGGGGAAGATTCCAAAGTAGTAGAAAAAGTAGTCTGGGGGCGATTATGTTGATTCTTTTCGATCGTGTGTGTGTGTGTGTATGTATATATATATATATATATATATATATATATATATATATATATATATATTGAAAGAAGACTATGTATTGTAAAACGACGCGAAGATCGGGACAAAAACGGATCGGGATAACTCGAAATCTATGAGAATCGGCGGGTTTGGAGGATGTATTGGGCGCCGCGGCCGCTCCAGAGCGTTCCGGAACGCTCTGAGAGCGCTCCGGAACGCTCTGGAGCGATTCATCCCGATCCTAGCCCTGCTTTATGCTGGTTTGCCTGTGGGAGGAGGACATGTGGGAGGACATGCCTCACCTGTGGGAGGACATGCCCGACCGAAGCGCAGAAGCGGCTCGAGCTCGCGGGGCGTCGGAGATGTGCCGCCGCTCGTGGAGGGTGCCGGCACCGAGTCTGTGAGATGCCTGCAGTGGGGTCGGCGTCACCCCAGCATACACCCTAGGCGATGCTTAAGAAAACCCAAGTTTTCGGCCAGAGTCTCGATTATTCTTACATTTTTCAATGTGAATCCCAAGATTTTGATAGAAGTTCTGGGTTTCATTCAAGTTCTGAGACTATGAATTTCTGAACCCATGATTTCTCAAGCATTTCGCAGGGTGTACTTCTACTATATGTGCGTCGCCCCTCCAGGGGGCGACGCGCGCACCAAGACATTTTATAGTCTGTGCGTCGTGGCGGGCACTTTCTGGCCACACCGCTCGGGAAACGGTGCACTACAAGATGGGTATGCTGTGTGTTCGCTTCGGGTCTCCAAGGCGGACAGATAGTACTGGTATGTCTCAGTGCCTCCCATGGGGGGCCCGCGCCAGATGCAGGGCCAGGTCGCGCAGTTTTTCGGAGCCTCCCCGCCGGGCAACGTCGAGGGTCCCGAACCTCGGGTCCTGCGTCTCCCCGGCAGGAGTGGCGGCGGCAGAGAGCCCGAGCTGAAGCGGGCGCGGGTCGCCTGATCGCAGGAGCCGTCCGTCGCACCCGGTCGCTCCGCCTCGTGGCGAAAAGAACGAGAGAGGGAGAGAGAGAGAGAGAGAAAGAGGGACAGAGAGGGATAGAGCGTAGGGAGGTCAGAGGAGCAAGAGGTCATGATGTTGGGATGCTCCAAGGTCGCAGGGAATTCGTGTCCTTCGAACTGTCTCCAGTTCTCTATTGCTCCGCACGAGCTCCACGATTTTGTTCGCGATGTTGCATTTTTTCGCAACGTCGAAGGGTCTCTGGGGTCTCCAGGGGTATCCTCGAAAGCCCCGGATGCCACTGGAGCGCCGAAAAGGAGTCAACGTTTTAAAACACCATGCCTGCCATAGCGCTCGCAGCTGCAGGTAGTCAAAGAGAGAGTGAGGGTGCAGAGGGGTCGTCCGCAGTCGTGCTAGATTCGGAAGCACACTTGAAGAAGCCTCGGCACCCACACATTTTTGTGTGTTTGTAGTAGGAATATAAATATACGAACGAAGTGCATCAACACACACACACGCATATATATATATATATATATATATATATATATATATATATATATATATATATATATATATATATATATATATATATATACATATATACCTATATATATATATATAATGTGGGTGGGTCGTGGGTGGGCAAGGGGTTGGTCGCGGGCGGGTCGAGGGGGGGTCGCCGGAAGATCCAGCCAAGACCTCTCCCGATGCACTTCACGACCTCCGGGCCGCACGGCGCATCCGTGGAGTCGGTGCAGGTATTGGTGAGCGGCGGAGGGGAAGGCCATGCTGAGCCGAGCTCGCGCCAGTCGATGCGATGATTTGTGGGGGATCGAGCGTGGAGAACGGCAACCAATGGCACCTCGCAAGGAGAAAGGTGGGACGAGGAGCAGGAGCAGGAGTGGACGATGCCTGGGTCCTCGGGGGCTCGTGGGGCGACCCTGGGGGTAGCTTGCACCGTCCAGGGCTGCCCTTGTGCATCTTGGGAATCTTTTCAGGCCTTCTGGGGTCCTCTTGTGAGCTTCTGGGGCCCTCCTGGGCTTCGTGCGCGTGTGTGTGTGTGTGTGTGTGTGTGTGTGTGTGTGTGTGTGTGTGTGCGTGTGCGTGTGCGTGTGCGTGTGCGTGTGCGTGTGCGTGTGCGTGCGTGCGTGCGTGCGTGTGTGTGTGTGTGTGTGTGTGTGTGTGTGTGTTTGTGTGTGCGTGTGTGTGTGCCTGTGTGTGTACGTGTGTGTGTGTGTGTGTGTGTGTGTGTGTGTGTGTGTGCATGTTTGGGTTCTCCCGGGGCTCCACGGGCTGCCTTGGCGTCCTCTTGGGCTGTCTCGGGGCCTCCTTGGGGCCGTCCGAAGGCCTCTTGCGGCGCCCTAGTGAATGTAGAAGAGCCTCTTCGTGGTGCTTTTGGGCCTTTGCTGAGACCTGTTCGGGCCCTTCTGGGGCTGCCCACGTGTCGAGACAAGGGCCCGCTTTTGAGCAAGGAGTTGGCCAGTACAAGGGAGCGGAAGCCTTGTTGTTGTAGGGTGGGCGGTGGCAACGCCGAGGCGAGAGCGCCTCGCCCGGGCGAGAAACGGCGGAGTATCGAACGCTAGTTGTGGTGAGTCAAAAGGGAGACGAGGGTATCGAGCGTTATCGTAGTTATCGTGTGTGTGTGGGCCGGTTTGCGGCGACGCGGCGAGAGTGCCACTCCTGAGAAAGAGCGAGGAAGTACAGAGCGGGAGCGCTGATGTTGTTGAAGGGCTGGCTTTCGTCGACGATCGCGAGCACCAGCCCCGAGTAACATGTGAGGAGGTCTTGGGCGGGAGCCGTTATTGTAGGGGGGCCGGCCTGCGGCGCAGAGGATGCAGGAGCACGATTGCCAGGAGTATGTGTATGGGCGCAGAGCCAGAAGAGTACACTCAACCCGCATAGTAAAGATGGGCAGCTTTCCAAATGGTGCACTTGCCTCTTTGCCCCTTCGGCTCATCCTCAGCGCTTGTCGCTGGTCAACCTCGTTCGAAAAGCGTCAACCTCGCCTTCCGAGGCCCTCGCATCCTCACCGCGCATCCTTACGATACGGGTGGGGAGGGTTGGTGACCGGGCAGTCTCTGAAGGGCAGCCTTCCCGTCTGCGGCCTCCCTGCTTTTCCTCTTCCCTGCTCCTGCGGCGCCCACGGATTCGCCGCTCGGTGTCCCCGAGCTGCCCGGCCGTCCTGCGCATGCCCTGGGTCCTGCCACCGGCAGTCGTATACGGGCCTGCCGCAGCAGGTGCGGCCCCGTGGACGTGCCGAAGGGCGCAGCGTCGCCTTGCTGCTGTCGCTGCTGCCGCTGGTGGGCGGGTCTCGGCGGAACTCCGAAGCACTCAAGTGGGAGTCTCGCTTTCGTAAAACATGTGGCCTGCGCTGGAGCGACACCGCCGGGGCGTCCACGGGGGGCCCAACGGCAAGAGCCTGTTCATCGGCGGCGAGCCCAGGGGAGAAGTTCACGAGAGAAGCAGGCCTTCTCATAAGGCCGCGGGGTTTCTCAGAGGCCCTCTGGCCTTCTGGGAGGCCATTTCTGTTTTCGCAGAATGCTTCATTCGGAAGCTTCTCAGAAAGCGCGAGGGCTTCTGAAAAGGACCGCTGCCTTTGAGAAGGTCTGCCACCTTTCACTTCCTCCCCTGGGCTCGCCGCCGAGTTTGGCACCACCACCGATGAACCTCCGCAGGTAACACGCAGCCCGTGTCGGCCCTCTTTTGCACCGCTTGCGTCATGTCGACGGGCTGCGGTCGACAAGCACACGTTAGCGCTAACACACGTTCTGAGTCGGCGGCGAAATCCAAATCCTGCCCTCGCCGGTAAACGATTCGGGCAACTCGATGGGCGGCGGGGGTAGGGCTCGGAACTCGTCGAACGCGCGGCGAAGTCCGAAACCTCCCCCCGCCTCCCATCGATTCTTGAGAATCGATGGCTGGCGGAGGTAGGGTTCGGATATCACCACCTGCTGAGGTTCCTCGGCAGCAGTCGTTTCAATCTTGTCCGCTCTCCGCTGCTCGCGTGACGCTCAGCCTGTCGACCCCCCCGAGCCCTCGATAGCCCGCCCTCGTCGTCTTCGTCCGTGCCCCCCCCCCGCAGCTGGCGGGGCCACTGAAGCAGCAGGAGAGGTGGAGATAGGAGAAACTGAGAGTAAGAGAGAGAGAGAGAGAGAGGGAGAGGGAGGGGGGATAGGGGAGCGAAAAGTGACCTGAACATAACAACTCGGAGGTCCGCGCGGATTTCTCGGATCGGCGCTGGACCCCCCCCTCCCTGGCGCGCGGAGCGCGCCAGGGGCGGCGCCGGAGGCGCCGCCGGGGGGCCCCAGCGCCGATCCGAGAAATCCGCGCGGACCTCCGGGTTTTTATGTTTATGCCACTTTTTGTTCCCCTAGAGGAAACCAGAGCTGGAGAGGCAAGAGGCAGGGAGGAGCATTGAGGACGAGCCCCACTCGGCAGGAGAGGGAGGGAGAAGAGGCAGGAGGAGCGGCAGGAGGACTCCAACAGGCGGGTCGGGCGGGCGGGCCCGAGGGGCGAGCCAGAGCGCCCCATCCGGGCGGGGTGGCAAGCTGAGCCCCTGGAGCTACGAGGAGCACTTGAGCCGGGCTCAGCAACATTACACAGGATTGCAGTCGAGACTGATTAGTAGGTCGACCCTGCCAACTCGAGGGTACCCTTGTGTCCTGAGCCTCGCGACCCATGCCTTCTCACACTCCCGCGGCAACGTGGCCCTCGGAAGGGTCCGGTGTCCTCTCGCGTGTCCTCTCCGATCAGCCCCGACCGTGCAAGGCA